AATTTTCTCACCAATTGAGCGGCGTGATTAATCGTTCCAAATATTTTCGAGTTTAGTCTTGATCTCGTCTCCCACTGCCTTTCAAGTGGAACCGTTCCGGCTTTTTTAGTCTGTACGGTGAAATAAAAACATGGGTAGAATTGCGCAAGAGTGCAACCGAGTGTGGGTAAATTCTGATGGTCAAGAATAGCGAACTCATGTCCTCAACTGAATATTAGCGATAATCGAGGCAATTTGTGGATACCTAATTAGATTCTTTCGGCGTTGATGACTATATACTTGGATTACACCTGGTACAGAATGACGATGTCACACTACTCGTGCGTGAGTAACGTACGTTACTTCTGCAGGTGAATGATCTAGGTTTATAGGTAAGTGTACAGTTAACGCTGGCGTTGGTTCTGGTTAGGGTATTCAAACGGTTTCATTCCAAGTATCCGCAGAAGTGACGTATCAGCGCAGCTAGTTGCCCCAGACCAAATCACTACCTTAACGTTCTCAACAAGAGATGCGGCAGTTCGACAGTCCATTTATGGAGCTCGTCCTATAAAAAACAGGGTGTACAGAGAACTGGGGAACCCGAATCTGAATGTAGCGGCTGCGCATTCGATTCTAGATGAGCCCTAAATTGGACTTACTTGCCGGTCCGGACATGAGGTTCGATTAACATGTTAAGGATTTGCAATCAGCTTTCTTATCTCTATTCGAGATCCTGAGGCTCAACAGTTCACTATTCTTATCACATTCTTTGGTTTAATAATGGAAGTCAGAGGTAGCACTGGGGCTAAGACTTCAGCTTCCTACTGAAAAGTCCGTGGTTCACATTCAGTTCACTTTTTCAGCGATCAACCTTTGGCACATGATTCCGGCTGTCGCACTTTAGTTGACTAATTGTGCAGAACAACGAGTAAGCTCAATGTCGTTGAAGTGATTAACTTTTCTAGGTGAATGAGATTGGGACACATACGCATTGAAGGCTAGGCTTCAATGCAGAAGCGTCATTCATCCGCTAATCCCTATCTTTCAGCTTCGTTGACCATTCATATGCCTCACTCAGAGACCATCCTCTTGTAAGACAATAGTTACCAACACACCTGAGCTCTCTAGTTTGGAATTTCTCGATTGTTGCCATGTCACAGACTGATCACTCAGGTTTTTTTTTCGTGAACTTACGTGGCAGTCGGTCGGCCAGATCAGGGTTGCTTTCCTTAGGAGTCCAGATGCAGTAGGTATATGGTTTTCTATGAGAATTCGCGCCACTTTTCTGACTGCCTGGGGAAAAGCCTGATACTTGATAGCGCAAGCTAACCCTGTCTACCAGCTTGCAATTCCTCAGTTGAACCCTGAACCGTTACATCAGAGGCTTTTTTGCATTCTATCTTTGAACTGCGATTAGTCTATCACAAGTCTACACTTCGTATCTTCGTACATAAAATGTTGCTCAACTTCAACAACAACTTATTAAGTGGATCCATGCTCTGGCGTAAGATTTCATTATGCGCAGTCACGTTCACCGCCTTTCACCGTAGCTTCACAGAAGTAATGTACTGATTCACAAAAACATAAATTGCATGTCCATGACGCAAAATTTTGTGGTTTATGATCTGCCTGGTATGAATTACAGCTCTTATTCATCGCTACATCTCTGAAAAGCTGAAATCTCATATGAGTGATGTTGAAAGGTTCCTCAATTGAATTTGATTATTCAGGTGTACGATATGTTCTGTACACTCAAAAGCTAGAGGTAAATTCATTTTGACTATATTGCTCATTGGACCTTGAAGTGTAAGCGCGCATAACTCAGGTTCTAAGCTAACATCCATAATACGAATTTTATTCTCGGCAATGGTCGGTCGCTTAAATATTCACTGGTGTGAATGGCTCACCTAAATCCACTGTGTTTTAGACTCCGTACTTCACCTGTATTATCAAAACTATGGTTGGCGGTACTCACTGATGTAAAAGGAGACTTGAATATGAAAATCACCTTCGCTCAGTGTCGTACAGTGGTTTGTTATTGCTCATTGGCCTTTCTCTAACGAACATTCATTATTGTTCCTTATCAACTTGTGCAGATTGAGCCAGGCGTGCGTGTGGTTACACCCACTCTGGCTGCTGGATCCTCGCCATCTCAACCAGGTCCAAGTCCAATCACTGGAGGATCAGAAGAGTCCACGCATACACAAAACGCCGTGCAACAGCAAACTCAATCGTCAGGTATCATTCAGCATCCGCATCAACCGCCCATGCAGGCCTACGCTAGTGGCTATTGGTCTGAAGGCCCAGCTCCGAACCAGTTTAATCCATCTATGGTTGGTCCTCATGGTCCTCATTCATACTCGCCTTTCCAATCACAACCACCTTATCGATCAACAATGCCGCCTCAGCTCCCATCGCACCACATGCATAACTTTTCGGGTTCAACCGGTGGCCCACCAGTTGGCAGTCCAATGTATGGAGGTACAATGGCTCCCCAGAACACGCCACACGTGCATTCCACCGCGCATGTATCATCACAGAGTTCTTCTGGATTTCAGAAATTATTGGAAATGGGTTCTGAGCCAGAACGTCGTCCGTGGTTAGAGCACTATGTTCGGTTCATGGATGAAATTGGCAAACCACTGGTCGGTTTGCCACAAGTTGTTAAGCAGCCACTCGACCTTTACCGCTTTTATTTAGCTGTTCGTGAGCGCGGTGGAGTGCTCGAAGTGATCAAGGCTAGGCGATGGAAAGAAATAAGCCAGCTGGTGAATATTAATGCGTCCGCGTCAGCAGCCTACACGCTACGTAAGAATTATTGCAAATTCCTCCTGGACTACGAGTGTCGTTTCGATCAAGGTGGTACGGACCCGCGTCCCATATTACAACTGATTGATGGAATGTCTGGGAAGAAAAAGAAGCAAGCATCTGGTGATAATGAGAATGGTTGTGCATCGGGCACATCTCTATCTGCCTCTGGCCTTCAGGTTCCCGCCCCACCGAGCCCGGCAGGCAGTCATTCTTCGGCATCCTCTAGCCTACTCCCACCTGGCAGTGGTAGTGCCTCTCTGTCTGGCGTGCCAACAGCTGGTAGCGCAGCAAGCGACAGCCAACTGGGTCCGCCAACACAAAATCGACTCAGCGAATCTTCCCAGTCAGTGGGTAATCTTATGATTGGTGAAGGTACCAACGGATTGTCTAGTTCGCCTAGTTCTACGGTAATGTCCAGCGGCACGTCCTTTGCACCAGGAACGAACATTCCATCACCACAGCGTCCCTCATCCGCCACGGCGACCGTGAATGGATACATGAATACTCCACACAACTCAGCTGAAACGACAGTGCGGTCAGGTGCAAATTGGCCTTGGTCTTCTGAATCTGATTCGACCGCCAGTGTGGCGCACCAACACCCAGGAATGAGCATCAATGGATTTCCTACCAGCCCTTCGGTCCGCAGTTCAGTTTCTCATTCGATGCCAAGTAAATCCACTCATGTTTCATGTAATTCCCAATATTCAGAAATTGTTTTGATTCACTGAAGGTATCACCACATCTAATGAAACACCACGTTTTCGCTTTACGTCGAAACGAAGACCACAGGGCTTTGTGATTTACTGTTTTTGTTATTATTATTATTATTATTATTATTATTATTATTATTATTATTATTATTATTATTATTATTATTATTATTATTATTATTATTATTATTATTATTATTATTATTATTATTATTATTATTATTATTATTATTATTATTATTATTATTATTATTATTATTATTATTATTATTATTATTATTATTATTATTATTATTATTATTATTATCGTATAATTGTCCGCTGCATACGCTTAGCTAACCGTCAGCATGAACATCACGAGCGACGTTTCGGAACGTTACGTATGCTTTCTCTTGTGTTAGTTGCACGGTGACTAAGCAGCTCTCTGGAGTGGAATGTTAACAGATATTTAGTTGAGTCGGACCTAGCACGCAAACATATTCGGTAAGGATACGTTTCACTTCGCTTGTCTTCGAGCGTGAGGACAGACCCACTCGTCGAGTACAGTGATTACTGTTCACGGCATCATGTGTGTCTGTTCAATTCGCATTCAAGTTGGCCACCACCACCTACGTTGCGATGTAGAGATTACTGTATGATTATTGTGAACCTACGACTTTCGGATATCATATTGCTAGAAACATTACCAGAAACATTACGATCAATATGTCAGAGCATCGTCTGAGAACCACCAACAAGTTCTTCGGTTAACCTAGTTGCTAGCCGGCATGGGTTCTCTCTGGAAGCTCTCTGGGACCAAGGGTCATTGTACAACTGCCCTAATAAAACTTCTTTATCGGCTTCAAGGTACGATTCCTTTGGGAGGAATTAATGGGTCCACATAATGGCATGTTTACTCACACCTTTCATTTGATCGATCACGTACCGATACGGCATTCAGGGGCAAATGAAGCCAGTGATCAGCACTCGACTTTGGTCGGTTCGCATTATAAGTCTGTAATTTTTGTGCACGGCCATGTATGCCTAGCCCGACACCTTTACGTGCCCATATCGACAGATCTCGCTCGGCTTCATATTCGTTACGATTTTCGAACCTCTCCTCTCCGTGCTCAGCAGCCGTGATAACGATATTTTCTACTCCAACTGAAGATCACTTATTCGATCGACCTACACAGCTTTTGTGTGTTCTTACCCTCGGTTGCAGTAGCGGATTCAAATTAGACTGAAATTCCTGTGTGGGTTCTTGGACTTCCCCGCCTCGTGTTCATACAGGAAATAATTATGTACATGGATAATGGTTTCCTTTTCAACCAGTCACTTGTGGCTGAATAGCACAATATTTATCTGTCAACCGAAAGCTCCTGGGTTTAGATAGCGCCAGAGGTTAATGAGAATGTGTACTGCTGGTTGTGCGCCACAAGGATAAGATAGCCTCGGTTTTTCCACTCGTGAAGTTAAATCTCAGTATTCAGTTTGATTGTCACGATTTAGGCGGATGTACGTAGCTTTGCGAAGGACATCGATATTTTATCACGTGCTTCTTATTTAAGCTCCGCAAGTAATACACTTAGGAAGATTATTATCAATTTTCTTCTTATCAGCTGCTATGGATGGAGTTGCCCGATTTCAGTACGCTATGACTCCTTCACCACTGACAAAAGTGACTTCACCGCATCAGTTACCACCGGGAACCAGCTCGGGCCCAGGGCATCCGACATCCGCCTCATCGATTGCTGGATCAGTCCCTGCAACGACCACAGTATCACCATCTATTGCTGCTCCCCTAACTGCTCCGTCTTCAAACGTGTCGACAATGTTTCAGAGAATGAATGAACCCACCGTGCATCATCATTCAGGGCCGTATCCGCCACCAGGGCCACACTGCCTTCCAGGAATGCAACCCCACTCAGCATTGTCCCAGCATCCGCCATCACCCGGTCACCCAGGCATACAGCAGTGTAACGCCACCGGAACACCCCAGTCAGTGATGCATCCTCGGATGGGCATGCCCCTCAATGTCCGTCCTTCGCCGTTTGGTCCCTCCGTTGCACCACATCCTGCTGGCGCGGGTGATCCTGTCGCTATCCTACGCATGCATCAGTTCCGATCGTCCACGCCAAATCAATTACCTTCTTATCCGCCTGGTCTTGTACCCCCTTATCCTGGTGGGCCTCCTCCTGTGGGGCACAATGTTCCGGCGCATTTGATTCACCATCATGGACAAGTGAGCTTCCCATTTTGGCTAGAGCACATTTCCTTTCCAAGCTGTATGCGAAAAGGAAGCTGTTTACTAAGTATCAGTTAAGTGCATTGTCCTTGTCATCCTATTTAGTAGGAAGACTGAGTTGTCACTAGTTATGGAAAGCACTTTTCGGGAGACCTGGGAAGCTTGTACATTAAAGACAGGGTTTAGGTGGCGCCTACCGTTTTTGTCATTATGGTTACTCTCCCAAGATGGCAGTACTTGGAGCGTGGCTGGTTGGTGGGGCAAGGCAGCATATTTCAATGTGATGATGCAATATTGCGTAGACTATTTGAAAGTTTGACCTTTCACAGAATTAACGCGGGTTGCCCTGATAACTGCAGTTTTATGATTAGGTTAAAGTGCACTGATCTCATCATTATGTTTACCTTTGTAAGCATTGGAGGGAATCTTTGGTTGGGTTTAACCGTTTTGTTTACACACTCGCAGTCACCTACTAATGATCACAGCTAGGGCAGTCACCTATGGTGAGGGAAAGATCTGGTTAGCGATTTTTTTGAATTAGGCGGGAGTAGGAAAAGCTCGTTAATCTGAACGTGACTGCATGTGGTATCCGAAGTTGCAGAAAGTCACAAATAAAAGGTGTACGCACCGGTTTTATGCAACAGCCGTACAAGGTTCGTCAGCTGCTGGATATGGTGGGTTCGCGCGATTCGTATGTGATACTTGCCTTGCAGCCGGAATGCTTGACCTTCGCTGGACAGTCTCCGTGCTTGGGTGAAATCTGGAACTGTGGTGGCGGAAGTTTGGTCTTACGCTAGCAGTACCAGCACTTGGGTAATCCATGAGGCATAATGATAGGCAGTAATACTCATCTTATTGCCGTGCATTAGTTTCTCTGTACTTGCCCACCGACCATTCAATCTCAGCGATTACCCGTATCACATCTTTGCTTAGGTATATCCAGTATAGTTTTCCAAAGCATTCATAAAAAACTGCGTCGTATTATTTTTTACTTTTTGCCAAATTTTAAAGTATAGTACACAACTGAATAGGTGTTATATCTTTTTCAGCGTCCGGGATACGTTGCCACAATATTGAAACGTGTTGAGCACTATCCATTTCCTCCAGGAAGCATTGAGGCGACACAGGTTGAACCAACCAGGAGAAGACGATACAGGACAAAAGATGTCGGTATGTTTGCTGTTGGGTTAAAATGCCCCTACTTCTGATCCCTCCGTAGCTCCAGTTTAGTAACCAACTTTTTTGCCGCTGTTCAATGAAAATTTCATGAATTGACTGGTTCAGTCCAGCCACTCCGAAACGTCACTGAAGCATCTTAGGCTCGAATCACTTGAGCAGACTTCTTCACGTTTTTACAATCCTTGCTTATTTACCTACTGAACATCCATCGATATATGGTCAACTGTGTGTAGCCACGGTTGCGCTCCTGACGTTCATGAACTGAGTGGATGAAATCCATCAGCTTTTAAACTGAATGTATAGACCTAAATTCTCATTAGTTCGAGGGATAGTGCTTGACAAACTCCGTAGCTTACCCATACCAGAGAGAGAACGATGGTGATTGCATCTTCATGTACGTGTCCTTTCAAGTCCTGAAGAAGCGAGACAGTAACGTTCACTGCTGGTGTTGCTGTCGGCGATGAGACGAGTAAGCAGCAAGTAATAGACCGGAATTTTTTCGAACATGTTTGTTTTTGCACTGCTCTTATGATCGCTCGGCTATTCTAGATTGGGAGTAGCCTATTTGAATTTTCCATGTTTCAATGTGCCTGTGTAGTTCAAGTAACTTTTGCTGCTCACTCAAGATCGTGTTTGCTTATACCCACTCTTTCCTCGCGTTTTTCCAGGACAAATCGCATCATTCAAACTACTCATGGCTCTTCGATCAGGACTAACTGCTGAGGTTTCATGGGCACTGAACTGCTTGAATATAATACTTCGTGATGAAGTTGCTCCCGATTTGATTGTGCCGTCAACTTTGCCAACTCTGATCACCAATCTGGTGGAACTTTGGCGGCATTCTCTTGGCGAACTGTTCGACCACGACTTGTTCGTAACTAGTTTGGAGCTCCCAACAGATCTCGGTATGGTGTTCCGACCTGGGTTTTCGAGAAGTCTCATTGACAAGCACGTAAGTAAGGCGGGACAGAAAGCAACACCCAAACGGCTACAGAAGACCGAATTGAGCAGGGTACCTAACATTAGTACGGCGTCGAATGGACTTGCAATCTTGGAGAGAGACATAATTGCTTTGGCTATGTCTTACAACGTTCCTGTGTCGACTGTTCGTAACCGTATTCGGAACTTGTTACGCAAATGCGCAGACTCCAGCTCCAATTCTGTTTCTTTGCGAACTCGTAATGGGTTGCTGTTCCGCGTAGAACAACTGGCCTCAATACCAAACAGTTTGGGTGCGAATATTAGTACTGGGGACCAGAATGCCACTCATGGTTCGAGAACAAGAAAACGGGGAAAACAAACTTTAACCGGTCTCAATTGCATCTCGGCCACGTCAAGCACCCTTGTAAATTGTTCAGCTGCCCTTCCTTCCATCTCTTCGTCGTCAGCTTTTTCTTCTGCGACTGTCAAGCCGGAGCCAATGGGCACATGGACAACTGCTCGAGTAACCGTAGCAGCTAACAGCTTGAAGACACCAGAGGCGTATGTCAATCTAAGGGAGCTGGCTCTTTTCGCCATTGATGAATTAGTCGAAAACGAGTTGCGTTCACCTGTCGTTCATGGCACTTCGTTGAAAACAGACACAGACGCCCGTAAAGCTTTTGCAAAGGTCCACCCTCCGCTTCCTGAACGTGATTGTAACTCGAAGCTTCCAGACTATTTGCGTCAACTGATGACCCATGGTGGTGGTGACACGACTTGCCACATAATGCCACCTTTCGGCGCGTTTCCGTTTCAGAGCGATCATTGGTCTGCAGAACCCGTCACGATTGACACAAAATTACCACATCTACTGATTCGTTCTACCGAGGACTCTTCCACGCCACCACCTGTCGTATTGAAAGAGAAGTGTGCACCTGGAGACGAATCGGTTGGTGGGCACGAAGAAGCGATTGATCTTATAGACGAGGATGACTCACAACCGTTAACAAAACGAGTTAGACACGCATCCACATCCTCTCTTGCTTGCCCGGTTTTATCACCTCAGCCCATCGAAGACCTTGCAGAAGATTCACAATCCAAGGAAACAAGGGCTTTGTCAACCGCAAATGCCGCGGTGGAACACCCCAGTCCTTCTGATCGCTTACATATGCACGAAGATTCTGAATTCACGCAATTGGTTATGGATGCCAGTGGACGGTGTCCACTTCGGGCTCGAGAAGAACTTGTGCATCACGGCCTTACTTGCCTATGGTCCGATGATAATGAAACAGACAGCAACGAAGCGCGTGCCGTTCGGTGTTTGTGTGTTTCCACGGTTTTGCGTAACCTTTCATTTTTTTCTCAAGCTGAACATCATCTCAGCTCACATAAAGGCATACTATCCCTGATCGGACGTGTTATTCTATTAGGTCATGATCATGTGGGTCCGACTGACACCTGGCACTCTGTTGAAGTGGCTGCAAGGTCGATGGAAGCCAGTCAGTGTGCTTGGAGGACTCCAACGTGGCTGGAGGATATGCGAGAGAATGCACTCGTTTTGCTGGTGAACATCGCAGGCTATCTGGATTTAATCCGTTTCGAGGAATCCATTGTCCGTCCGATCCTGGAAGGTGTCATACATTGGATTATTTGCCCGACGGCTGTAGCTGCTGACCCGTTTCCTGGCCACCGAACGCTTAGCCCTCGACGTTTGGCGTTAGAGGCTGTCAATAGACTTTGTGTGCACGAGTCCAACGTCGATCTCCTATTGTCTACGCCCGGTTCAAAAGAGGCGGAGTTGACAAAACTGTTCGACCGTCTCGCTAATTGGCTGTCTCTGCCTGAAGATCAAGTTACACGTGAATTGGCTCTGTCTACAATGCATTACCTAACTGGGGGTGGAGTGTCGTTCGGTTCTAGTGCTGATACAATTCCAAGCAAGAGCTCCGCAGGCGACCCGTCTTCAATTTCTCCACTACCAAACAATTACACTGGTACAACGTTGCTCGCCCTTGCTAAACCTTGTCCAATCGCTGGTCTTCTTGCATTTATCGAGGCTGCCGAAGCCACGACAAGGAGAGTGATTGATCAGTTTGGAGTTCAAGCCTTGCAAGAGCGCCCAGAACTAATGGGAACTAGTCTGGAAATGGTTCGGCGTGCAGGTGCTCTCTTAGACCGACTGGCTACAGATTCCACAGGCCGATCTCGTTTCACACCCAACCTGGAATTACGCTTGCTAGACCTAGTTACTTCACGGGTTCTGGATGCTACGGTTGCACATTTGCTATGTGGTGCATTACATCGCCTTTCACCAAAGCGGCAGTTGGAAGATAAAGTACTGTCACCTATTGTTCCACCCAATCCATCACCGACAGTTGTTTCACAGCTGCTGAAAAACAGTGTTTCTGGGATCAGACATGATGTAGAGCAGTGCACTGAGGACGAGAACCAGCTTGTTGGCGTTAAATCTGAGGAAAAGGTTGACAGTGATGTAGCTACCTTGATCTCCTCTCGTGAGAACGGTCCGTGCAGGATGACCACCGATTCGGTGGAAACTCTCAAGGACGAAGTGAAGATCGTTGAACGAACAAATATCGTTTCGGATATGTGCGAAGCGCAAACAAAACGTGACAAAGAATACTGTGCTAATGAACCGACTGCTGACGACTCAGACCCAGTCCTTTACAAGAAAATCACCGATGTGAGTAGTGACCCTACAGGAGATTCCCAAGCCAGCACAGCGCTCCCTCATACATCTGTATCGGTGAGCGGTAATTGCCTGGATCCCTGAATAGATGTGTGTTGGGTTTCATCTATGTACTCTTCAGATTCGTAATTTTATCCCCTCGCCAGCATTCCTCTGTCTGAGTTCCGATGTGATTGGTCATCAAACCAAGCGTTGTAGCCGCCCAGCGGCCATGTGCCAAGGCCCACCTTGTACATATTTTATTTTTCCTGATGCCAGGACATGTATCGTGTTAGTCTGTGTTTTCGAGCTGCCCAGTGTCTATCAGAGTGACTGCGTTTTCCTGACCTTTCCAGGATTTTGTTTCAGGTGTCTTTTCTACTAACTGGAGCACCTTTTTTCTGTCAGTGGTTGTGAGCGAGCACTCTGTCCCTTGTGCCCCGCTGACGTTATCTCCTTACGGGTAGTGATTGTATCCTAATCACTGTTTACATTGTGTACACACACCCACGCACACAAACACGAGCTGTGTGGTCTGCAATCCCGCGCAGTTTTTGGTTTGTCTCTCGTTTTCCTGTTGATCCAATTGCTCACCAACCTGCTGACTGACCCGGTTTGCTTTCTTCTTTGTGTGTGCCCTATTGAGTACGGACGCACTAACTTAAGAGTGTATTCTGACCGCTTTCCAGATTGTTTGTACACCGTCCCCATTAACCACACTGAATGGAACAGTTAAGTCTTTATTCTTCTGGGAAGCAATTCGAAGCCCGAGCGGATGATCTATACATAGAGGATGCTTCAGCTGCTCGACTTCGGTGCTCCCTAATGCCAATTCGCAATTGCAGCTGACTTTGTTTCTTCACCATTAACCTTTTTCAGAAACACGATCTGACTGGTTGACTAGTGCGGAATGCATTTTGACATTAGTGTGTATTGTGTAAAGCTCCATATAATACCTTTACATAGCAATGCATCAATTTTATAAATCGACTTTTGTTTGCTCTTTTTCTTATCCGGGTATCAGTCCGTTTGCCTATGTTGAATAGACACACGTTTCAGATAGAGCCATCAACCGAGAAACGAATCTGTACGAGCTTAAGTGGCTAGTCAACTTTCATACCCACATTTTAACATTAGTCAGGTTCAACATATAATATACCGGGATTCGGTATCTCGTTCACATCTGCAAGAGGAACACATTTAGGTCTAGGTAGAAGTGTGGTAGTGACGAAAATGTTGAAAAAATGGATCAGACCAACAGGGTTGACTTCAGACGAATGCTTACCACTTTTTATGATCAAAATCTTTTAAGTTTTGACTTCTTTCAGTTTTCGATCTTGTCGGTTTTTCGGTTTCATATTCAACGCGACCTGTTGAATGCAACCCTTAAATAGGTCAGTTAGGTTTAGAAGAAATTTGTAATGCAGTGAATGTGGTCATTCAATGGTTAGCTCATTAGCGTGTGTCTAGCTTTCTTCCATCTCCCATGGTTTCTTTCGAGCAAATTAAGCAGGCAGGGACGTCCATACACTCAAGGTGACAATTTGAAGTGTTTTAGTGCAAATCCACTGGTGAATGCACATTCTACTACCTATGAAGGGTCATCAAGGCTAAAATTTTGTGTGAGAATGCGGCCTAATTGTGTCTGCGGATGTATCTATGCTTTCAGGGTCCTCATCCAGGAAGACAGGATGCACGAACGCTACTGAGTTCTATTTACGCTTGCACTATTATGCTACTAAGTAGTGACCTGACCCCCCAAACTGGTTACCATCTTGCACATGGTCGGGACCAAAAGGTCCACCAGAGGCTTGGGTTCGTTAACTTTCGAAGTGGTGTTAGCACCATCTTCTGAATGCTATCGGCTTGTCTGTCGCGAATGAGTTACCGTATTAAGCGTTTGATGTTTCTCACTGGGCCGATGTTCATATTAGTTACCGTTGTTCTGTGTGGAGTCTAAAACTCCCAGGAACCCATTATTTTGCCGCAGTCAAATTTGACGTATGAGGCAAAGACATCAAATTATCTTGCAATGTTTCGATAGAATGTAAGTTTGTTAATTGAAAGAGTGCCTGCCATTTCCCACGGTTTCGAAGTCTCTGATGCAATTCCAACACCCATCTTGAAGGGAAAGACGGAAAAGTGCAAACGAACTGAGTATGCACAGTGTTCCTACCACATCCTGACTACTCGTTGCTCAATCGGTTTACGCCCTTCAGCATTAGTTGCTCGTAAAATAGTTTGTGTGAAACGAAATAAAATTACCAAGACTTAATTGACTACGAAGTTAATGGTATGTGGACCACAAAACTGGTCTTGAACATACAGCACGATGGGACGTGCTGTATGCCTTTTATTGCATATGATTCCCGAGTAGCCATATCTACAAATCCCTGCGTGTGTGGGTGTGAGTTTGAGTCTCCGCCAACGCTTTCAAAATGGCTCTGAATTCTTCGTGATTTACAGTACTTTCATTTATTTGGAACTCACATGACACTTTCAACAAGTCCTGACTGAGCATCGAATTCACCACCTTCGGACGTGGAACAAAAGCATTCTATTGCTGCTGAGGGTAACATCCAGTGGCGCAACCAATTTTAATTCATGACAGGCTCGGATTCTTATCCCCGCTGGCGACCTCAGGTTAGCTCCTGATCCTCGTCTTGGACACTTTTATCTATCTAGAAACGAACACGCTTGCTCCTTGGGTCCGTTTTGCGTATGGGATATTTCGGTCACAACACACTCCTTCGGCGCCTCCGGGAATGAAGACTAGTTTTTATCGGGGGAGCGAACTGTGACCAACGTAGCTGAATATTTTTTTTAACTTGTTCATAATGTAGGAACATCGACTAGTCATTGTGTGAAGCTACACGTAAGTGCCGGTCGGGCGGCAAATGCACCCAATTCATCCGATACACATTGCGTATAGTCGGACAAAATAGCATTCAAATAAATCATCCGCAAGAATCGCTAAATGGTAGACATTGTGGTCTCCGTGACAAAAGTGATATTTAACTCCCCGCTAAGTGATTTGTCGCCTGTGCAAGATGTGATTCGGTCATGGGTGGGGAAATTTTTCCACGGCTAATTACGGTTCTAGAGTGCTCGGATGACCTTGCTGATTTTTCGTGAATTGTGCGCTAAATTCGACAGGAAACCGCGTTTGCGGTCGCCAAGTTTCAGTGGTAAACTTTCAAATAGTCCTTCCTTGGTACTCTACGTTTTTGTTTGTATTTGAGAAAAATCGTATATATGAGCACCAGAGGTGTTTTAGACGCCTACCATCAATGTCTTACCATAGGTTACAACATTTTCATTATAACAGGTTTTTTTTTCAGAAACAAGGGCCTTTAAAATTAATTATTTCTCTTGGAGACAGGTGATCGCATTTTGCAGGGGCATTTCGATGATAGCACACTATTTTTCTAGATCATGGGAGACTGTACTAATACTGTGGGAGCTTTTACTTCCGGGTGTTAGTTCGTGGATGCTAATGTCCAAGCGAGTTTCCATGACCTCCTGATCCACGCAAATTTCGTTTCCATAGCTTTTACCTTGTTTCTCGAAAGCATTTCCTGTGGGTAACTAAACTAACTGACTAGACAGTTATTTTTTTGGTGGGCTGGGTGAATGCCTTCCAAACGTCTCGTTGCTGTTTCGGGTTACATCATTAGTGTGCCGTTGGGTAACCTAACCAGTCACAGGCAAGTCAGTTTAACCTAAATCCCATCTAGCTAGTCACTCCCGTTAGGTCTCCTTGACGGTGTGAAGCAGAGCATGGAGGAGTTCCATGAGATCACTACGGAATGGATGTAAGTTGAACAGGTGCACAAAGGAGAAGCGAAATGCTCTCTTGCTCGTCTTGGAAGGGACCCTCCAGATTGCTGAGAAAACACTGAAGATCTCCAAGTAGCTTGGTCATTGCCTTAGTCTGGTTACAGTATTACACCAATGAGTTGATTATATCCAAGGTTAACTTGATTCTCCCGGTTGTCAATAGTTATCCTGGTCTACTCGATTCACGGGCTACGTGCCAGCTCTCCAGCCCAAATCAGTTCGTAAGACAGCCTGTAGTGGCTTCTCCCGTGGGTAATAAACCTTTCCCGTGCGCTGTTATGTGGGCAGAGGACCAGAGAAATTGTTCCCCCGAAAAATAGACTGCTCGTTGTTCCATGTTGAAGAGTCAACCAAGTCCCTAGTTTGCTGTGAAATTTGAGTTAGGCGTTCAGTTTTTAAGAATCTTGTCTGTTTTGTTTCTCATAGTTTTCTCCCAATGAGTTTTGGTATGGAGACTCGTTAAGATATGGTGGGAAATAAGCATGGGAAGTAAATACCTTATTTCTTCGCGGAATCGCAATAAATACAGCGGGTACTATGTTACCTCTCATTTGCTATTCCAACTTTTTTGGAGTAGTTTGAATGTTCGGCCTCAGATGTGTCAATAGATGTGGGGCATTATCCAGGATAAAGTGACAAGCATGAATTTTCTGATAGGCTACTATTGACATACTGGTCAACTGGAAAGCAGTCGAAAAGTTGTAGGCACAGTCATCTGTGCCGATGAAACGCACGTTTGGTGTACGAAAATGGGTGAAACTAGCTTAAATTACCAGCGTCTTAGTGTCTTTCTCCCCACATGTATTGGAAGAATGCTCTGTCGATATTTAGTTCAAAGTGAAAGCCCGCCTGATAACGGTCTGAGTTTGGAGTTACTGGTTTATGCCATGCTATCGTTAGGCGGAATTTGCTTGCAGTAGACGTCTATTAAAATATGAAACTTGGCGTTATCGTGAGGTATGCGAATTGGGACACACCTAGTCTATGTAGAGGCGTTCACGAAACAGCAGGCGAAGAGTTCTCCGCTTCGCTAATTTTCGAGGATATGACAACGCTAACATTGATAAACGTTACCAGCCGTAACTGATTCGTCATTATTCCGTGACGTGTTTTCAGCTGAACTAAACTATTTAAGCTTAACTTTTGAGAGTCAGGAACAGCCTATTTCTCATGAGGTAATCGTTAAACCTGGGCTAACCAGATGGACCACCAGTCACACAAATGGTTGAGTTCTTACTACGCGTTAGTGTTTGCAGCATTGATTAGGAGAACTAAATTAAATGCTGCTAAGCTCACGCACCACGGTGTATCACACACTGTACCGCATTATGTACGACCCGTGTCACTACTTATTTGTACTGTAAGTTTGATTATCATGGTCATTAGGCGGTATCAGAAACATGTACCGGAATTGAGCGGTAGAAGAAAATTCAGCATTTGAACATCTTGAGTCATCCTAGACAAACAGGGGTAAACTGGTATGTGAGAGGATTTCTGCATTTCTCGAGAGCAAGTTCGTCTGAGTGGTAAGACCAGAATTGTCCGAATTTCCAGACTCCTTTTAGAGGATTGATATTATCCACCCAGCGGTAAAATTTGCGGGATTGGGTGGATGGAGAAATTGGTGGTCAACCGCTTCAGTACTAATTGAACACAACCATTTTTGTCTATACACTTTAGAGAGGCTCAATGTGATACTATAGGAACAGTTCATGGTTAGGCTTTCCTGAAATCATTTCAACACTGTCTCGAATACTGGTTCGGTTCCGCTTTGCTGAAGCAAGTCAGTGCTGTGCGGAGGTGCATAAATTTTACGTCAGTTGGGTGACTACTTCTGAGGACCTAGTAGCATGTATACAATAACCTTTCGGGGAAGCAGTGCGGCCGAAAATGGCTGCGCGCATGGTCTGAAAAACTGTAAGTATTGGTATGTTTTAGAAACTAAATACTGCCTCCAGGAATGTGTAATCTAGAATGTTTATGACTTTGTGACCAAAATGACACGAATTGAGAGCATCGTTCAAGAGCACCGCCGCTCCTGAATAAGGATGTAGGAGGTAGGCCCGAAAGTTGAGCTGTTTTTCGACCAATACACTCTTCTACACACAAGTTTTGTTTTCCAAGGATACTTATCTGGAGCCCAGCCCAATA